TTTCCAAGTGGTTCGAATCATTCGGCGTTAATTAAATTGCAAGAACTTCAGAAAAAGGTCGAAGGATGGGACGACAAATCTTGTTGCTGTTCCTGTCGTGAGTTCATCCTTGGTACGTTATTCTGTGTATTTATTGTTTTTTTCTGAGAATCTACAAGCTGTATTTTCAGACTCCGTCAAGAGTTTCGTTCCAAAGTTTTGCTTCATATTGTAAAATTCATTATCTGTAGCGCCAGTAGTTTATCTGACAACAGCGTCGCTGCATCGTCCTCTTTTCTTTAAGGATATGAAGGAATTTAAAACAGAAATAGAGTTAGCCGTTTGAAGCATGAAGGGTTGTCTTTTATTCCAAAATTTTGGTGATGATGTTACAGTAAATTGAACGTTGAAAATTGAATTTACTGCCTGAATGAACGAGATTCTTACCTCTGAATGGATGTAATTGCAGATTTGTTTTTGTTTATTGTGCCATTATTTAGGTTCGTTGCCGTGGACTGCGGGTCATTTCTTATGTCGCGGAATGGCAAACAGACACATAGTTTGAGCTGTACTATTTTCTTATTTTCACAAATGACCTCGTTATATGCATCTACAGGTTTACCTGCTGAATTTCCTTTCCATAGTCGAGGAAGTTAGTTTAGTGGTTGGATTCTCCCACCTAGTAATGATAATCTAGTGATATGTACATGGTTTTATCAGCCGTCGTTCGTGCACCATGTAGAATACGTCTGGTAGCTTTGTTGCAAATTGTACTCTTCGGGATGGCTCCTTTGTAGTCCCAATTTTGTCTTTCAGGTTGTGCATTGTTCGATTGCTTTAACTGTAATCAAATTTTAACTTCATGTTTTATTAGCAATGAAGTTTTCAGTTTCAACAAAGGGTGTAAGAATAAAAACTTTAATTTACTTTTGGTGGTAATTTAGGGTTCTGTTCTTTTGTCTTTGACATTTTTTGATGAATTTCTTTCTCAAAAATTAAATAAATGGAATGTTTAAGATGGGTAAGTTTTTGTTACACTTAGTTATACATTAACGGAAAAATCTGTATTGTAGAAGGAAAATTGAACAAATACAATCAGACTTCGCAGAAATTGGGCAACTCGTTGCTCAGTACATCCGGTAAGTTTGTTTCTGCATCTTACATTGATTATAGTTGCTCTTTGAGCCTGGTTATTTAAATATCTGACATGTATCTAATGTATTTGAATAGTTTGCTCAAGTCATGCATTTCCTGTCTGTCATGCTCTTTTGCACTTTCCGACATAGCGTTATCTCGGCATTTACTGTATGAACAGACGACGACTTCGAGAGAACATTACAATACCACTGCTTGGTTTCGATCTCACCAAGGAACTTTCAGAAATTATCTTCAGTTACCGTACATATCACATTTTCTACAAAATCCGGACTTGATAGCTGTGCTTTATCGTTGATACATATTTCAAGCCACCATTATGAGTGTTTTCACAAATGCCAGATAGCAACACTTCCCAAATGTCGCGGTGTCGAAAATATTACATGGAAGCGACCCATTATTAAATCAAAACCTATATTAGCCTTGCAGCCGTCCCTTCAACCATAGTTGGAGAGAACACCATATTCGCTCATAATTACACTGGATTATCAGCTGTCCGGTGGATCAGTGCGAAATGCAGTCTCGAGGGCTGTTCGTATCGGATTGTACGGCCGTACACATCGTCCAGTCTGACATAACCAGGCTGTCTCCGGGGTCTTCCGCGGGTCGGTTTTGCAAGTAGTAGCTGTTTTGCCGTCCTTTCTGAAAGCATCCTCAATATGTGCCCAAACCGTCGTAGCTGTGACTTCTCAATCTGGAGAAGCAGCGGTTGCACCAAGTCTCTCGGATACTTGTACCCTGGGGTCATGTCGAAACACGTGAGACCTTTGGAAAGCCTTTCTGCCGCTTGCGCTTGGGGATCGAGGTTTTTCCATCATGGCCTACCACGCATGACCGGAAATGAGGATGATCAAAATGAAGATCGACTTGAACACAGGCCTTAGTCTTCAGACCCGGTTATGTTTTAGTCACAGCAGTTCGGGTTTGTTCACGCAGAACGCCGCTGGCTACGCTAGTCCCGGTCGATCTTTTCCTTCTACGTTCCATCACTGGTAAACACGACTCTGAGATACGTGAACTTCTCCACATGTTCCACTGCTTCTTCACTTATCCGCAAAGCGCAACGGGCAGAAGAACGAGGAAGCATTTGGCTTTTCGTAGTAAATACATTCACACGCATACCGGCCACGTCGCACTCGCCTGCAAACTTTGCCAGACAACATTAGCGATCAGTTTCAGAAGATGCCAGTGAAACAGCGTCGTCGCTGAACAGCAGCTGTATCGTGTCAACATCTACGCTGTCACATTCATCGCCCTGACCGCGCCTGATTACTCAACCCATGCGCGGCACAGACAGGCGAAGGGACAGAACGTAACAAATAGACGGAGGCCAATGCGACACCGAGAGGTCTCGACTTAACTTCATTTATTCTGATGCAGCACCTGCTATAAACATGTAGTGGTTGGATGTCCCGTAGGAACTGCTAATTGATCCCATACGTCTTCAGGAACATCCACAGCTCGTTGCGTAGGATTCGGTCATAGGCGTTCTCAATGTCCATAAAGCAGGTGTAATCCGGATTAGTGAACGCCCATAGATTTATGAACAATCTAGCGTGAGGCAAACATCTGATCAGAGGTGCTCTGCACTGCTTTGGATCTTAGATTCCGTTATTTAGCGGCATTTTTTTCTGACACCTTTTCGTAGACCTTTTCCCTGTGATGCCCGGTATGGTAACGTCATGATAATTGTAGCACTTCCTGTGGTCTCCCTTCTGGAACAGGTGTACTGCAACCCTCGTTGTCCAGTCCATGGAGGTGATGGATATGTGTTTTTGGCTAGTTTTTGTTGAAGGAATTCATAATCATGCGTGATTTCATATTGGATAAAATTTGTATAAATTTTGTTTTTAAGTAGTTTTACGACTGCTACAATTGCCACATTTTTATGCATTTTTTCTGATCATTGTAATTGTAATTTGACTGTCTTTAGACACACTGCGAGGGAAAGCAACGAGAATCAGGGAACGTTATGTTTTTCTGTTTGATGCAGTGATCGTATTGTGCAAACCCCTTCCGCAGAAGCGGTCTTCTGGACAAGAATACCGTTTAAAAGAGCAGTTTCCTCTTCGGAAAATTGAAGTCATCGATAGGGACGATACCGATGGTAAGTGGTTTTCATTTAACCGTTAATTAGAAGTAGAAAATCCGCGCGATCACGTTTTTTTCATTCAATAGGCTACATGTGATTATGTGTCTGTCTGTGATATTTTTTGTTGTAATTGTTTTACCCCATTTACAGCTAAGAATTAAAATACGGTGTCAGTGATGGTAAGGCTTGCAATATAGCGTATGTCTTACAAATGGTATTTATGATCGACAGTGAATAGAAAGAACCGCGGAGGTGTCATACCGTACCTCGCTGTTGCTATTGTCTTGATCGGCTAATAATATGGTTATAAAGGAAGATTAAACGTAGTTGCATGTAGAAAATATATTACGACGCCATAATAGCAATGATGTGTAGTTAGGCAGTGGTAGATCTACAGTTGAACCAATGAAAATAATAGCATGAAAATATATGAGTTTGGTGACCGATTTTGTTAAATTTCTGCGTATATTGTAAGTATGGTAACATAGCGTTTCAGAAACTGCTATTAAGATTTAAGCAACGCTTTCGAAATTCGACAGAAAGACAATACGGTAAGCGTCGTGCTGGTGGCGCAGTTAGCTGACGATAAGACAACATGGATGGCCACGTTAGTGATGCTTCAAACGCGCAGTATGCTGGAACGAATGCTGGACTCCTGTTTGGAAGCAGATCAAAAACGAATTCCTTTGTTGATACCATCCCCAGATCTCTATCGGTGAGAACTGATTTTTCAGCGAAGTTTTATTCTGAACCGCATGTCGAATTTCACGTTTATTTTATTCTTCCTTAAGGTTCGCGAAGCCAGACAGCGACGAAAATATCGTTCTGGAAGATTATACGTCTAGCAGCGGAATTCCGGTCGTTCGTGGTGCGACATTGATGAAGTTGGTCGAACGTTGCACCTATCACATGTAAGGATTGGAGCTTGTCGATGACAGTTGAATTAATTTAGAACAGGAGCTGAAGCGTTCTGTCATACTTTGATCACGCATTGGTTCTTGTGAAAGAACAAGACTCTTCTGTTTTTATACACACTGTGTTTATTATCATTCCGCATAGTTAGCTATGCAATGCGACGGTAAATTAAGGCCCTACGGTGCACTCACATGAGAGAGAACGGCCGTCTCGCCCATTTTGGTGAGATCGCACCAGAATACCACCTTATCTCTAGTGATCGCAAGTCAATCACGTGCTACTCGTTTTCATCTGGTTGCACCGAATCAATATGTGGTAAATTCTTTGCTCATAGGAATCAGCCATTATGGTAAATTGTTTCCTTTGCGCGGGATTCAGACACTGCACATCCGAAGTTCGAAGCCGATTTTTGACCGTTATGTCGTCGTGCCCCTTTTCGGTAACGAAAGATTTTCAGAACCGAGCAGCGCACAGAGCAATGTAACAAATTCAGAATGCTCTCACTTGTTCTTAAATGTTTCAGCACACAACCTATGGACGTAACTGTTGCTTGTGCATGTTCTACTTTTGTGATTGTAACATTTTCAAATGGTCGTTCTGTTTTAGGTACGTAGATCTTAAATTCGTGCGCACTTTTCTGACCACATTCCGCCTCTTTTGTACTCCGCGGGAGCTACTTAATTTGCTGATCGACAGGTTCAATATTCCAGAGCCGGTTTTCGATGGTACATCGGTTGTGGGCTACTCACCACTAGGTTCTGGTTACAGTACGGACGACGGTGGTACAGCATTTTTGTGGCCACCCTCCACGAATCTTGAGCCCGGTGGTCCGACGATGGATTCGGATTCTTTTTTTCGGGAATGTATGAAGCGACTGCGCAAAGAATATATACAACCGGTGCAGATACGGTATACATTATATGTGGCGGCCTTCCTGCTCACCTTCATTTGGTCTTCCTTCGTTTTCAGTGTGTTGAACGTCATTCGACAATGGATTGACCACCACTGGTATGACTTTCAGCAAGATCCAGATCTTCTTCTGGACCTTAAGCTTTTCCTCAAACACGTTGAAGAAGTGAACAAAGTAGTAAAGTGGGCAAAATCCCTTCAGAATATCATCGAGCGAAAGGTAATGTGTGAATTGCTACGCTTGCGTTGTTTTACGCTGTCTTCTGAAATGGTCTTTCAAACGTTTCGATCGGTTTTCTTTTACATCATTGTTTCTAAGTCTAAACAAAATCTGTAGGCGATTTTTTTGTGTAGTACCTTAAAATGTGCTATTAAGAAAAAGTGAGCTATCCATCAATATTTTAAGATTTCGAATGAGATTAACTTATTGTAATCGATGATACTGACAGAATTTTGTGATAAGCATGAGTGATCTTTGTAAAAGGAAGCTATACTGAAATTGTCCAGGTCTTCAGATCACATCAAAAAGTCTATTAGCTCGTACAACGCAAACATTATCAGCAAAACTGACTTTATTACCGCAAGATAAATGTTTATATCTGAAAAGATCGATCAGAGTCTAGCATTAGGATTATGTAGCATCAGCTGTTTCTGTCTGTTTTGATCTCAGAATTTTGCAAAGGAATCTGAGAAAATGAACTGGGAAAGTTGAGTTCTTGCCTGAATCACTATGAAACTGCTTGTAGTTCCATGATTTAAAAGGGGCTTGTTTCAGAATTTATATATAGTTATTAGCTGCTTTAGAAAGCCCCATTTTGAACTAGGAATTTTTTCAGTTATATGATCATTATACTGAATGAACAGCCGTAGTGCCTTATTCAGTCGCGCTTAAGTCTTGTATATTCTTTTCCTCTTTCATGAATTGCAGAACTTAAGTTTTGCAGATCGAAACAAAAGAGGAGCTGAAAGAATTTCAGTTTCCTTCTGATCCGCCACTACTCGAGTGGCACTTGACTCAGTCACCAGAAGAATTTGATCTCATGACGGTAACTTTTATTTTTTCTGCCTATTTTATAAACGGTCTTTTTGTGTTAGCTTCATCCCGTGGAAATTGCTCGACAGATTACCCTTATAGAATTTGATCTATATCGTGCGGTAAAACCCATCGAGCTGGTCGGAGCTGCGTGGACTAAGAAGGACAAGGATAAACGCAGCCCTCAGCTAATGAAACTCATCCAACATTCGACCAAGGTATAGTTTCGAATTTAATTCTCAAGCTGTTAGCACACAGTAATATGCAGTAATAAGCTCCTGAGTAATGATCATTTAAATGACAATAATAGACCCTGCAGTTCGATTTGTCCTCACTCCCGATTTGAGGAGTGAGCATAAGCATGAATATTAATCTATTACTAGGTCTTAGAAACCTAGTTTCCACGAATTTTTTGCATCGTTTACGTATATTAGTTGCACAGGAACTTCATTCATTCATCTTTACAACCCACTGTTCATTACAGTACTTACGGTAACAGCAGTTTCTGAAAGCTTTTCCACTTTTCCAGGTCTGCCGCAAATCAGGCAAACTCCAGACTGGATTCCAGGGTGCGGCAATTTAGCATTTAATAATCGTCAGCCATGTGGCTGCTGACCACCTTCTGTTTGGTATTGCGAAAGGAATTCTAGCGATTTTTCTGTAATACTCTGTCCAAATTATCACGGTGGTTGTCTCAGCGGCTTATAAGCGAAGGCACGTCGAACTGCAGTGCTTTGGATCTTATCGAACCTCGTCGGATTAATTATTTTTCTTAGGAACATTATTTCTGTTGTATGTATTTTTGTTCGCACTCTTTCTGTCAGTATCCTGTACTTGTTGCCATGAATTGTAGATGTGTGATAGAATTGAAGCTGTTCGGCTCTCACAGCAGACCGGTTCATATCTTCAATTTTTGTATTGCTCGACAGTCATATGTCTGCTTCATTATGCTGCCCACTGCCACTTATGAATATTGCGCCTAGATAATTAATTATCTGTTTGTTTCAAGTGACTGTTTGTCTAAAGACGTAGAAAATAATGTTCTTTATGGAAGTTAATATTAAAAATGATTTATCACTTAAAATTTCTTTGTTCATTATGCAGATTGTGAACTGGTAAATAAACATAATTATATTTACTCAAAGTAATATCCTGCCATTGTTATAAAAGTAGTGCAGATAAAACAACAGATTTACGGTTCACACCTACCACTTTAGTTAGCTGTATTTTCGTTCAGTGAATTTTAGTACAGATTGCTTCTTGTTATTAAACGTTTGAAACAGTTCAGTTCGAGCTTGTTTATTTTAAAGACAGTGTAATTTTTGTGTGTTTATTTACAGATACTTAAACGTTTTTTGTTTGT